TATTATATATTTATTAATTTATTAATTTATTAATTTATATTATATATATATATATATATTATTATTGCAATACAAGAGTTTCAGTTCCCCCACGTCGTACTACGATACCATCCTTGTTTTTACTATCTTCTGCTGATTTTATTTTGCAAACGAATATTCTGTAATATATATAATTATATATTATATATATATACACGTTGTATATTGTGTTATTACACGATGAACAAATTATATTTTTGTTTTGTGAACGTATATACGTACGCTGCTATTTGATTCCATTGTTGAGTTTGTTTTTCATTTTTCGTAGCATCCTTGTCGATATTTTCTTTTTGCAATGATAAATTTTTCATTATTTCTTCTTCTACGGTAATAGAATCGTTTAACTCGTCTTTGATACTACGACTTTTATCAGAATTAGACGATGCCTAGGAAAACAAAAAATATATATATTAATTATTTATTATAATTATCGATAAATATATTTATAAATTTTATTTAAATTTACATTCGTTTCATCTTCTATTCTTTCTTCAATATTTTTCATTTTCGATAACGTATCCTCGAGTCTTTCTTTTTCTTCTTTATCCTTGTAAAATAAACACACATTTTTATAAATATTATAATAATAATATATATATAAATAAAATAAATATGTAACCTTTCCTATTTTCTCTTTCAATTGATTTATTTCAAACAACACGTTTCCTGTTGGACTTCCGATACCTGTTTCCAATGTGGATTGAACTGTGTTAGCTTTTTTATAACGATCCTCCAAGTCACGAGACTTTTGTCGTAATGCCTGAGTTTCTATATAAACACAATTATTAATTAAATATTTATTAATAAATATATTTATTATTATTCAAGATTTGATAGAATATATGTGACCATAATTATAAAAGTGGTCTAATTTTAAGTCAAAATTAATAAAAAATGAGTTTATTAATTATTTCACACAACACATTATTTTAAATTAAATTAATTCAATATAATTTTCACGATATTATCAAAAATGAATCGTTAGATAATGTTTGTTATTTCAATATTATATAAAATCAAATATTGTATCGAAACAAGATATATATATGACTTAAACCACTTTCATAATTATGAACACACATATATATATATACTTGCCATTTAATAGTGGTGCAAGTTTTGCACGTAGAACGGATATCATTTTGAATAATTGTACGTTTGTTGAAAATGCGTTAACCTGTGTGTAACTGTCAGGAATTGATTGTTTTCCTAAATCTATATTTTTATTACCTTGATCTATTGACGCTGCCTAAAATAATTAATTCTTTTATTTTATAATTAATTTTTTAATTTTTCTCTTTTTATAATTAAGTATAATAATAATATATATATATATTAAAAATGTGAGATAAATATAAGTGAAATAATGATAAGACATTGTAAAAAACTTTGTAAGTTGTGCAATAAAAACCTGATTATATATATATAATAATTAGGATAATATTTGTTGATAAAAAAAAAATTAATCAATAATAATTAATTTTATAATTGATTTGATAATTATAGGGGATATTCATACTTGTGCTTTAAGAATAACAGCAGTACGTTGCAAAACACCTATTTCAGCTTTCAATGCAGTCAATTCGGCTCTGTAACGTTTGTACGATATACTTTTGATTTTCAAATGTGCCACATATTTTTTCAAATCATCCCCCTTCGGTACAACCTCGTCCATAAACATTTTCGATTGTTCTCTCTTTTCATCGAGTTTAATTAACAAATCTTTCAAACGTTCGTTAGTATTTTCTAATTTTTCTAATACGTTTCTTTTCATATTTGATATTGTTGTTGCTTGTTGACGAAACGGTTCCATTTTGTCATTATCAGTTTTTGTTATCTAACAATTAAATAAATTAAATTAATAAAATATTGAAAAAATGATAGAAATTAATAGAATTATAAAAATAAACAAAAATAATAATAATAATGTGATATAAATATATATAATTTACTTTAATCTCAACTAAACCTTGAATTTCTTTCGTTAGTAAATCCAATTTGTTTCTTAACATAGTTATTTGTTCCGGTCCTAAATAAGAATATCCTTTGATAGATGAAAGTGCAGCAATACGTTTTTTCTTCATCTCAATTTCATATGCTAGTTTTTCTTTCATTATAGCCGTTTGTACGGTCACCTCGTCCGTTAGATGTTGTATTAATGTTTGCGGTGTTATTTCCTCACCGGTACGTTTTAATGTTTGCAACTCACGTTCTATTCCTTGAAAGGATATCTGCGTATGCAAATTAAATCAATCAGACTCCGATCGTATTAAGATTATATTAATTTAATATATATTTATCGATAATTATATTGTTTATCTAAATAAAATATTAAATCAAACTATATATATTGAAAATATTATTTTACATTATAATTATAAAATTTGTGAACAAGTTTTTCATCCAAAAATTAAATATATCAATAATATATTGTAAAAATGAAATACTTTTAAACTAGACATTATCTTGCTTTCTTGTTCCTTTTGCAAAACAAGATCACGTTCACGATCTTTTTCCATACGCAATGCACGTGCCGCTTCCAAAAGATAAAATCCTGATTGTGCTTTTACTTTCATCTTTTCGATACGTAATAATACTGCCTATAAATCAGATAGAAAGGATTATTTCATTTATTTTCATTTACATACAATATACATAAATTATTATACCTCCTTTTCTTTTTCCATAGCTTTGAGATCTTCCGTAAATTCCGCGGCAATCTCGAAATTCTAAAAAAAGCGAATAAAAATTATATTAAAAGTTTAGGACAATAAAAAAAACAAACAAACAACATTTTTGTCCATAATAATAATGAAAGTGGTTTAAGTTTCAATTTAAAAAACAAAAATCAATTTATCAATTATTTCTAAACTCAATTAATTCAATATAATTTATTCATTATTAAAAATGAATTGTTATAGGTAGTGTTTGTTATTTCAATATTATATAGAATTCATTTTAGTTAATGTGTGATTTTTTAAAATATTTAAAAACAAAAAATATATAATTGAGCAACAATTTCTTAATTAATACCACTTTCATAATAATGGGCACATTTGTATCGTCAAATTTTGTTCTATACCTTTTTACCTATCTCTCTTTCCTTGTGAACGGTTTTAAATTGATTGACCATGTTCGTATATTGTTCGTACAATGTCGAAATTTCTGGATCTCCTAAATAATCCGATGGAATTTCGATCTAAATCAATAATTCGTAACGAATAATTAGAAAATAACTTTTAAGCGTAATATATTAAATGATATTATATTATTAATATTTGTGAAAAAAAAAGAAAAAAATATTAAATTAATTTACCTTAACAAGAAAACGTGCCAAATAAGCTCGTTGTCTTACGATATCCTTGTGAGTTAATAACCACATTAAAATACCATAAATTGTTTCAGAATCACCTCGAACAATTCCTTGTCTTTATTGTGAAAATAAAATTAAAAAAAAAGTAACTTAATTGATAGTTATTATATTTATAAACGTTTGTATATGTGTGTGTGGCAAACATTGTTAAATTTAAAATATAATTTTATTACCGAAATGTCGCTGGATCCGAATTTGGTTGATATTTTAATATACGAAGAGCCGAAAGAATTCTTACCGAACTTTGTTCAGGTGTTTCGGTTTTAATATCGACCTTTGGCGCATCTTGTTGTTGTATTTTAATTAACACGTCGCTTAATATCTAAAAAAAAAGTACATTTTTCTTTTGTATTAATAAATATTAATAAACACACTATAGTATAGTATTTATATATTAATTAAAATATTACTTGTAATAAATCCTCAGGATTCAATGCACTGAAACCAACCAAATTATAATTTTTGTCCAACAGTTTGTTAACTTCTACTACGATAAATTTAATATTCTCGCTCATTTTTTCTTGGATTTTTTTTTATTCTCTTTATTTTTTAAATTATTTTAAAATACTTTTCCTCTATTGTTATTAATCGATCCGCACGTGTCAAGAATTCAGAATGGAATAATTCGTATGTTGTTGCATTCGGTTGATATGGTAACTATACGCTCGACATATGGTTAGAATACATATATTTTTTTTTTACAGATCTATGGTACTACTATCTTTTTCAATGTACGATCCAAACGTCGTTTTAACCCATTCCTTTCTTTTTTCAATTCGTGCCAATTGTTCGTTTCTATAATTATTTCGAATATTTTCCATAAAAGTCATCATATATTTTCGATCCGTTAAACGTATTACTTTACTTCCCATTAATTTTTCCACGCGTAACTTTACGGGTTTGTAATTCATACTGTAATCATAGAAATTTTATTTTTATTTTCATATACATTGATATTTAATAAGATTAAAAAAGAAAAAAAAACCTGTCGAAGAAACTTACGCGTATTTTATGGGTTCACTTTCCCACCATTTCAATGGTTTTTCGTATGGATCCAAGCTTAAAATAAACATCGATTTTTCTTCTTTCATTAATTCAACAGATTTCTTTCTTTTATCATTTTTTACAGTAATCTTAACCTTAGCATTTCGTGCATGATTTCCTTTTGACGATACTTTCTCGTCTTCTTGTTCAGATTTTCTATGTTCGTACATATTTTAAATAAAATCTAGGATAGGAATATTGCTATAATTAAAATAATTATTGTATTAACGAACTATAAATTTAGAAACACATTATTAGAAAATTTAAAGAAAATCGAAAGATTAATTTCAAATTCTTTTCATTTGCCACGTTAAAATATCGCGCAAAGAATGGACCAATCAAAAGTCCAGATTCTACGATATTTTTATATTATTGGTTGAAATATAAAAGATGTATGCGCATATTTACTGCGCAACAATTGATTAATATCGATTCTAATATCGAACGCATGCGTGCAATACATATGTAATGCATGTGTATAACACGCCGGTAGTACGTGATGTATTTTTATTACATAAATAATAGCAAGTGATAAGAATTTATGTGAATTGTAGTGTTAGCATAAGGAATATGTATTTTTATCATATTATTCTACAAAATTCATTAAAAAGTTAGTTGATATAAGAGAATATTATATTTTTAAATATAATTATTTAAATATAATAATTTCAGAAATTTATATAAATATAGGTTATGTTTGTACACGGTTTCCAAATCAAATGAAAAACGATTATTAAATGATAAGTTGTATTGTCTCTGTGGTGTAATCAAAATTTATTTGTATTAATCTCGATTGCAATTCAAATCTTAATAGATTATTTTTCTAGAAATAAATAAAATACATACAAGATTTTTACATACAACTTTAATGAACATGGCGAATAAACCTAAAGTTTTGATTACACGACCGGATATTCCTGGTAAAGGATTAAATCTTCTACACGAAAAGTGAGTAGTTATACTTATGGTTTATTTAAACTTTTATTTTATCTTTTTTAATCAATGTATAAATACATTATGTTGCATCAATATATTTTTTATTGTTAAGATGTGACGTTGTTTCATGGAACAAACAAACACCTATTCCTCGTTCAGAATTATTATCAAAGGTACCTGGAGTATCCGCTATATTTTGTACGTTAACTGATAAAATAGATGAAGAAATATTGAATACGGCAGGAGAACAATTACAAGTAGTCGCTACGATGTCGGTTGGCACAGACCATTTAGATTTAAAAGCGTTAAAAAATAGAAATATTAAAGTTGGATATACGCCAAACATATTAACCAATGCTACAGCAGAATTGATTGTAGGATTGCTTCTAACAACTTCAAGGAGATTATTGGAAGCAAATAAAGCAGTCCATAGGTAGCATACCTCACACACACAACGGAAGCATTCATTAATGTAATAAAAAGGTTTATACAATAAAGAAATTTTTATAGCGGTGAATGGAAAGCTTGGGCACCAACATGGATGTGTGGTACAGGATTAGCGAATTCCACTGTTGGTATCGTTGGACTTGGTCGTATTGGGTGTAAAGTAGCCGAATGTTTAAAACCTTTCGGTGTATCTAAAATTTTATATATGAGTAGAACTGTCAAACAAGAAGCTTCTAAATTTAATGGAGAAAAAGTAGAATTAGATAAATTATTAGCAGAAAGCGACTTCGTTATAGTAACTGTAGCTTTAACGTCAGACACCAAAGAATTATTTAATACTCAAACGTTTGAAAAAATGAAAAGATCTGCTATATTTATCAATGCCAGTCGTGGAGAAGTCGTTAATCAAAAATCTTTAATAGAAGCTTTAAAAAATGGTACGATTAAAGCTGCTGGTTTGGACGTCACAACACCCGAGCCACTTCCATTCGATAATGAACTTCTAAAATTAGTTAACTGTGGTATGCACTATTTATTTGTATGACAAAGCGTCTCCTGTAGATATTTTCAATATTATTCTTTATTCTACAGTGGTTTTACCTCACATTGGAAGTGCTACTATTGAAACGAGAGAAGAGATGGCTAAAATAACAGCTGAAAATATTTTAGCTGTTTTGAGAGGCGCAACCGATGAAATGCCAGCACCACTTAATTTATAAATTGAAGCATATATACATTTTTTATATATATTACTTTTGTTTCAAGATTTATTTCTTCTATCAAGTAGGATCGTGTACAAATATTAAACGTTCCATTTATTACATTATATTATAAATAACATCAGAATAACTGAAAATATTTCTTACCTCCAAACTATGAAATTTACAACTCGCAATAATATTATTGAAAATGAATATTATTTATATCAGTATTATATATAAAACAAATTGACTGCTTAATAATTTATTGGTTAGTTGTACAGTTGGAAAGGTAGATCTCTTTGCTTACCAACCGAATTAATTAATATTCATGGGTCTCATAATTTTCATACAACAAACACAAAATTAATTTATTCAGTCTTTACATTCCTAATCGTCCGTGAAAAATTGACGATAATATACGAATAGCGTGAGAAGAATCATAGAAATGTTTTGTAAATACTTACGTCAGCGTCAAGTTGTCAGCAATGATATTATAGCAAGTACGTCCGAACGAGAAATCAAAAACAATGGGTTTTTTCATTACGTTAAATTTTATATTTACCATTTGTTACGTTCAGTAAAAAGTAACATAATATAGTGTCTAGAATTAATTTATTAAAAATCGTTGCTACTTTATTTTTAAATCAATTTTTGTATACTTAACAGTTCTTTATAAATGCAAAAATGTGTAATCCAATTATGACAATATGGCGCTCTAATTTTCTGTAACGTCATGTACGTATTTTTAAAGATCACACATTTTGTATATTTCTATATATATATATATATTTTTTGTTATTAATACTAACGCATGTTTATGAAGTTTAATTTTATTTTATCATCATACACATTTATTAATTGTTATTTCATATCCGAAGCATTTGTTATTTTTTTTTTATGTTATATAATTTGTTTATATGCACGACAAAGAAGTTAGATTTTAAAGGATTGAATTTCCTTAATTAATGGCATATATTATTGGTATTTATCATATGAGTCGTTTATTTTAAAAATGGCCTAAGTCCAATTGTCAGTTGTTTGTTGTTAACTGTATTAACACGTATCACGTACAGTAAAAAAATATTTTGCGAAAAAAATAAAAATAATAGACTTCGGTTATTTTCAAAATAAATTGCACAATATAATATAATAAATAGAACGTTTTTAATGTTTATACACGATTAATTTATAAAATAATTTATTCGTAATAAGATTAAAAAAATAAAAAAAAAATAAACCATGTTCCACGTACACGATTATCCGTTCAATTTTTTTTAAAGATAAAATATTTCGTATATTCTTATTCTATTACTGATAGTTTTTTTTTTTTTGTTATCAGGCATTGCGCAGCTGCCTTTAATATTGATACGAAACAAAAATGTTTCTAAGTGAAGCATATGTACATATGTATATATGTATAGATATTTATATAGGGTGAGATAAAAGTCACTTTTCCCAGAGGTTCATTTATTTAAATAAACCACACAAGATTTGGATCAGTCTCTATAGAACTTGGACATGAAATTATTTCGATTTTGTTTCACCATATGTAAATCAGTAATTAAACTAACAATAAGTGAATTGTTAATAGAGTATAATGGAGACTAATTTGAATAATTTACGTTAACAAATGCAAATAAATTCAAATAAATATTAAAATGCACTGCATAATTTATTCAGTGTTTTTTTTTTGTTTTTTCTAAAAGAAAGTGAGACTTTTATCTCACCCTATATATGAAGTACACCCATGTACAAACGCAACAGAATAATGTGTTTATTATTTCTTCTATTAATGTATTATTTTTCTGTTGAGAGAGACGAACATATACATATATATTTATGAACCGTACGATAAACATGTTTCACAAATAAAGAGTGTTGACTTCGATGGTCAATGTGGTTTGACTGACCATCGCACGCTTCACTTGATTTTACCTTGAATAACACGTTCATTTGTTTTCATCATTTCATTTATTAGAAATACTCACACGTTGCGAGAATTTAAACGTAAACATCTAACGAAACTTCGTCATTCTTATCGCATACATATATTACATATATATATATATATGTGTATAATATACGTATACTATGAAGGAAGATAAATGAAAGGAAAAAAAGATGGGAATTACTATCAATAAAGTTAGTCATTATCTTGCGAAAATGTTTTTATGCGTTCATTGATCTCTCTCTGACGTAAATTATATTTGTTAAAATTTATTTCATTAATTAGACATAAGCGTTTAAATGAAAATTAAACATGAAAAGATATTTGCAAACAACAAGAGACACACAATTATTTGTACAATAATAATATGTTCATAATGTTACTACTGTAAGATGAATACTTTTGTCTCTTACTATACATGGCTGAGTTGAAAAGTTTTGAGCCTAACATAGAAACAATTATTTTTTTTCACATAATCAAATTTATTTTTCTTAAAAAAATAAATAAAAATTTATTGTTAAGGCCTATATAACTTTTCAAACCCATTTTCGTATTTTTTTTTTTATTGTTTTTAAATGGATAAACAATAGAGAGATCATGTTTTTATATAATTTCGAATTAATTAAAAATAAAAACAATGATAAACACATTTATGTATATTTAATATGTACATCATTAATCAATTAATCAAAGAAAATATTTTCTACGATCTTTCGAAAATAAGTGTTTATCTAGAATCTATACGTATTTACAAGCACATTTTGATTGTTTACTTCTTAGAAAATACTCAAGCCCGTATTACGAATCATCAACAAGATATTGTCAACATCCTATATATATAATACATACACGCATATACATACATATATATATATATATGTATGAATAACACGAGTGCGCGAAAACACGTGGCTGAATAAGAGAAATCTCATAAATTGTTTTCATCTAATTTCAATGGTCTTCTTGGTCGTGTTGTTATTTTAGAATTTCTTTTCAATCTCCGGTTTATCTTTCTAACGAGCGAAACCAAATAAAAAAGAGAGAGAGAGAGAGAGACAGAGAAATATAAAAGAAGGAAAAGAAGAAGAAGAAGAGGAGGAAAAAATTAACATTAAAAAAAAATATAAAAAGAATTTTAAACAGTTACACGTGGTATTTAATTTATCACGTGATGTAGCGCGTAAATGTAGGACATCGATCTCATCGACCTATCAGAGCTTCCGTTTCATCATTCGGAGGCTCGGCTTCTGGTTCGAGTCTTATCGACCAATCAGAAGGCTCCATTTTTACGAAATTTATCACGCGTTTTCTTCTTTACTTTATAAGTATGCGTATAAACGCGCGTATGTGTTTTTTTCTTACCTTCCAAGTATTTATCCGTAATATATTGTTATTGTATACATATATATATATATATATATAAACGTTTATATGTATATGTAGGTAAGGTGAATACCGTATATAATACGATGAGCGATCTCGCGTGACGTTCAAACTTTCATAATTCTAACCTAAAGCGTATCACAGTGTAGATTCGCGCTAACCGTCAGTTAGATTTCAACCGTCAAAGTTGACGGATGCATCATTTACGAGAGATCGTATTATATATCTCGTTTATTTTTCTTCTCGTTGTTTATTATAACCGTGAAATCTTATAAGATATAATAATAAACTCTTGTTATTTTTTTTTCTTATAATAATAATTATTATTATTATATGTCTAACTGTACGTATATAGGTGTGCATTAAACACCCGTTAGAATATGTGCTCGGTTTCTTTCTTCTTTTTTTTTGGTTTTACGCGAGATAAATTATTTCTATATTTGATTTAATATTTAATATTGTGTGACGCGCTGCTCGTGCGAAAAAGAAACGACATATATATATATATATATATTTTTAACAAAATAAATATTTTCTTTCTATTGCGAAGAAAGAAAAAAAAAAAAGATAATACAATATTATATTGTTTTTTTTTTTTTTAATAGCAACGTGTTGTGTGTTTTCTAATTTAAAGATTAAATCATAGAATCATGTATTCCCGACGACGCATCTTCTGCTATGTAAGTATTTTCTTCTCATATTTATATTTTTCTTTCATTCTTTCTTTCTTTCTTTTTTTTTTCTCGTACGCACGCGCGTTCTCATTCGTGTATTGTTCTTTGTGAATGAATGAATGAATGATTGAATGAACGAATGATTTAATAAATGGATGAATGAACCTTACGTGTAGAAATAAAGATGCAACATTGTAAGAGGATTTATTTACATATATTATGTTATGAATAGAAAATTGAAATAATTGAAAATATTCTATGAATTATTAATATTTTTAATTTAACGC